CCTGCAAACCCTGGGCCACTGAAGCAGAGTGCACAAATTTAACCACTACACCACCGGGCTGGCCTCCAATAGTGGTTTTAAATCAGAGAAATAATTTGAAAAATATAACTGAATCAAAATGTCTACACCTAAGAAGAATCTTCAGTCTATGAGTTAATATCTGCTTTTCTTTTTTTTTTTACCTGAGGAAGACTGGCCCTGAGCTAGCAACTGTGCCCATCTTCCTCTACTTTATATGTGGGATGCCTGCCACAGCATGGCTTGCCAAGCAGTTCATAGATCAGCACCCAGGATCCAAACCGGCGAACCCCAGGCTGCCAGAGCAGAGCGTGCAAACTTAACCACTGGGCCACCGCACCAGCCCAATATCTACTTTTCTAAGAATAGAGCTTAAAACTTGGCAATATGGATTGCCAATATACAGTTTACACTATAATACACAACAACATTACCTCATTTGAAACTTGATACTCAAAATCAATTCAAACAGATTGGGAACAATTTTGTTATTTTTTTTTTTTTAAGATTTTATTTTTTCCTTTTTCTCCCCAAAGCCCCCCCGGTGCATAGTTGTGTATTCTTCGTTGTGGGTTCTTCTAGTTGTGGCATGTGGGACGCTGCCTCAGCGTGGTCTGATGAGCAGTGCCATGTCCGCGCCCAGGATTCGAACTAACGAAACACTGGGCTGCCTGCAGCGGAGCGCGCGAACTTAACCACTTGGCCACAGGGCCAGCCCCCAATTTTGTTATTTTTAAAGTTGTGTATGTGTGTATATAAGTCATTACTGATCTCATAACCAGTCACAAGTCTCACTTGACACATCACATCTGGCAACCAGGAATCTGATGAAGTGGTACCACCCTGCATCACTACATCATAAACAAGCAAGCAAAGATTTCAGAAGAACCTCAGGAACATAATGGTTAGAGAAAGAGAAATGTGGGGCAGAGGTGGGAGGGTGGGAGATAGTTTCAAAGAAGAAGCAAGGAAAAGTGTGTCTTCAAGGGAGATATGTTCTTTTCTCCAAAGTTATAAAATACACTGATTGCAAGATGATAGACTCCGAAGGTGTCGTATGATGCCGTCATAACAGCAACCAGTGTCGCGCATCTTGCTGTTGCTAGAATACCACCAGGCCCAAGCTGGGATCTTTTCAATAGCATGTGATAGCCTTAAAGAGGCAGGATTAAAAATTAGAGCTCAGTCTGACTCATTTAATGCAAATTCTAAATCGGCACTTTTGATACATATTCTAAGATATTTGGGTGCAATTATAAAAGGTGATTTGAGAACTGACATTTTTCCCTAAAGTATACATTTAGGAAAACTAACATATGTTTTGCTTCTGAATTTTGTAAAGAAAAGAAAATGTCCTTCAATGGCTTGTTTGACTTCTACTATTCGTGCGTCTATGGTAGCATAACACTGTTTCCCCCATTTTTCTTTGAGTAGTTGAGTTGACTGGGAGTTTGAAGATAAGGATGAGATCTATACAGATATCAAGACCCAAATCTTTCACATTGTTCATTGACAGTGAACTGGAGAGAGATACAGTATCACTAGGGCCCTGCCTTGTGCTCACGGCATCATATCTCCTAATAACTCTGAGAACAGAGTACTTGGGACATCTATTTCTGGTTTGTTTGGGGTTTTTGTGGAGTGTGCAGAGGGAGTCAGTGTGATCATGTGCTCAGGCACATTCAAGTGAGAATTCGTGCTTCCCAGGTCTGTACTTTTGGCTAATCTGAAGTGATGAGCTTCTATATTGACTGAAAAGTTTCTTCACATAATCATCCTAACCCATAAGTGACACTTGAACCTTTCAAGTCCAAATGTTGAGAGACAAGAATATTGGATGTATGTATTCAAAGATAGTGGTCGATGAGGCAAGTAGAACAGTTTGCAATTAATGTAATTTTTCACTCCACTCAGATAAGATGTTAAGAATAGAATTAAGAGAACCACAAAACTGTTATGATGATGACTTTATCAGAAAAGAAAAATGGCATTATGGTTGATCTTTAAAGCATTATCATAAGAGACTGCTTTATTAAAAATATACATCCCCCTTTAGGCATTGTTCTTTGAGCTGTCCTAGGCTATTGCTCAGCCAAACTCATACGTCTGAACTGTTTTCTAATTCCTGTGTAAAGACGAAGGTATTGGAAACTTATCATGAATACTAAAGAAGAAATATATGCACTAGGGAAAATGCACCTGTGCATTGCTATTCTCTGTCTGACTCCCTAACTGCCACCATTAATATTTTTTGTGTTTCTCACAGCTGTCAGAACGTGCTGGCTTCTGCTTTATTCTCAGAGCCTAAACACATCTTTTCAAGCTACATGGTTTGCATGCTAATGTTCAACCAAGGCATATTATTCACTCTAATTTTGATCTTATCAAAGGCAGGACAAGGATTTTAAATGCTACAACCGTTCATACTAATTAGAAGAACTATTTAACAGCCAGCCTTAGCTTTCTCAAAGACTGAGACATAAATAAGGAATAGGCCTCACAATTAAAATGATAGCAATAGCATAGAAGATTTTTAAATGTTCACATTTGTTTATTTTATGTTTTAAATCCAATTGGGTGCTATTTTCAAATAATCAGAAATCAGAGGATACACCATTTACCCAAGATATGATCATAGGGGTTTCAAGCCAAATGCTGCCTTAGAGATCATTTAGCACAACTCCCTAATTTCATGAATGAGAAGTTTGGAAGAAGTTAGAAGTTCTACCCAAAGTCACACTGTGAATTAATGGCAGAGTCGGGACTTAAAGTCATGCTCTTCTGCCACCCAGCCACACAATATCAGCTAAGATCCAACAGAAGAAAAATGTAAATCGCTTCAAAAATTAGAGCACATCAAAGATATTCAAAATTGCCTTGTTCGATATGAAAACTCTATTCAAGCCACACGATCAAGTTTTCTTCCTTATATATCCTTTACTTGTGCTTGTTGATCAGAAGTGACCACATCCCCTCTGCCACATCCTACAGTAAGAGTTTTAACCTTTACCCCATCTGAAGACCTGTAATTGATCAGTGTGCCACTTCTCAAAATATCCTGCTAGCCTGGCATGGCCTTTTGCCACTTTATTTGGAATATTGATTATTTCAATACTTACAGAGGCATGCCTTTCTGCACCAAACACTCCTCAGGAGATATAAGATTACCCACTCAAACAAATATATGGAATACTAATTAGCTCACCATTATTTAAATCATTTGGCCACTTGGAGGCTTACAGCCTACCCATAAGCCATGTAGGTAGAGTACACAAGTCGACTTTCAAGTGCATAGATGTCTAAATTCCTGAAACCCAAATCAGATAAGGATTGAACCTGAAGGACATACTGAGCATACTTGCTGCTTTTCTCGTCTAGAAGGGTCTACATGTCAAAAAAAGGGAACACAGCAGGTAAAGCTGCTTTGAAAAAGATTCCTAAAGAATGTTTAAAATTAGCGATTTTATAAGTAGAATATGCTAAATTGATTGTTAATAAGAGAGACTGATGAGTTCGTGAGTTTTCTACAAGATATGGGAAAAATTTATAACTAAGTATTATTAACTGAAAAATTTTTTCAGCTATGAAGACAAATAGGGTGAACCTCTGAGATTAAAGAGATTATTAATTTCTCATCTCTTGTGTTAATTGGATATTTGGAAGGGTCAGTAGAACATTGCCAAACTGGTAGAAGGAAAAAAGATGCCCTACGTCAGTAAATTGGCAAATAGCACAGTTTCTGAGGAGCGTCACTAATTCATTATGCTGAACTACTTAGAGTTATATGTGAAAAATACAAATATAGTAGGAAAAAAGAAAACTTGAGAAAAAAGAAAAGAGGAAGGACCCACAATAAGTAAACTACACATTGCTAATTGGCCACAAGACATTTAAAAGAGGTAAAAATCAATAAATTTTGTGTTTACCTCTTAGTCTGTTATAAAAGGAAGTCAAATTTTCACTTCTGTTTGAAAGGAAACTTGAAGAAACAGAAGAGGGATGACTTTCCTGTTCTAAGACTAAATTGTGTTCTCAGATATCAAGCTTCTGAGAACCAGAACAAAAATACGTATTAAGCTTTTTGCATCACACATTCACTCATATAATCCCTGGCTTTTCATAGCCAATACACAATAAAAATCAACACAGTCTCTTCTCTGTTTTGACTGGGGAAGGAAGGCAATGAGTATATGTCTTCAGTGAGAAGAGAACTATGGCCTATAAACTCAAAGTGCTTCCGTACATTAATCTCTCCCTTCTTAATCATCAAACTAAGCTTGTAAAGAATCTCAGAGATACAGAAAATGTCAAATGACATAATTACTGTATTATGTAAGTATCAGGATTACATCCTGAGCACAAATCCACATGGGAAAAGGCTTTGGCCCCAGTTCTATCAAATCCTTGTGGAACAATCATAAGATATGCATAAGCCTGTCTACAAGAAAGAGCAGCAGAGAATAACACACCCTTTGAATGAAATGGTCATTTAACGCTATGGCATTTCCTTTAAGTGATCTGGAAATCAATTAGTTTCAATCCATTTCATTGCACTGACTTCTAAGATGAGGACAAAAGACCCAATGAGACTTCTTTAGCTTATCATAATGTGTCCCCCCTCCAACAAAAAAAAAAAAGACGAGTTGACTTGGAGAAACTTAAAATTCTACAGGTGAAGTTTTACAAAAACACCTTTTTCCCACGTAATGTAGATAGTTTGTTGTATTATGCAGCACACTTCGTGGATTCCCAGGCACATCTTGATGGTTCTGCTTCACAGCACCCACATCCTCATGGCAAGCAGTGAAGGCTGTTTCTGTTACAACTGTCACTGTTGTTTTGACTTCCTTTAACCTGCTTGGCAACTTGAAAATGCTTTTGTCGGGATCTGCACCCATAAAGTGGCCATGGCGTGGCCTTCGTTAATAAACTGTTCTCACTTCACTGACAGATATTTTCTGATATCTTGACTATGTTGACAGTGATCCCACAGTGACAGCTAACGCTGGGAAAATTCTACAGTCCCATTTTAACTACAAGATGTGGAAGAAGACACAGAAGACCAAGGGGAATGGAGTCGATGGGTCATAGGGCACAAATGCTCTTTCCCGGAAGGTTTGAGAGGACCCGGGTGTGTACATCCTTGCCAACAATAGGTACCATGCTATTTTTAAATCTTTATTTTCATTAAAAATAATATCTTGTTATAATTTATATTTTTCTTATTGGATATTTTCATATCTTAATTTGTCATTTCTGTCTTCACTTGTTCACTCTCTTCGCCTGTTTCTCTATTGAGGACATTGTCTTTCTTTTATTTAAATTGTAAGAGCCCTTTTTGTACAGAATATCAATTCAAAAGTTGAGAATATATTAAGGGATAAATGAGCAATATCTCTTTGATCTAAAATACCTGCAACAGGATGGAGAAAATCTTATTCATTAGAATTCCTGAGGAGTTAGTAGGGGAGTAGTGTATTTCTCTGCAGTCTGTACGTGAAAAGGTGGCTTTGGAGCTTGGATTTTTGGAAGTTTGAGGCACAGAATAGGCATGAGAAAGATAGTAGAGAGTTGTGGGTGTCTGATGTGGTTGGAAGCAATCTCAATGTCCAGCAATAGAAGACTGGGTGAGTAAATTACAATACAATCCTCATAATGAGATGCTATGCCATTGTAATGCTGTCAGCTTCTAAAACAGCCCCCAGTGACACCGGCCCCTGGTCTTTGTGCCTTCGTTTCATCCCCTCCCCTTGAGCGTTGGCTGGACACAGTGATTTGCTTCTAACCAACAGAATATGGCAAAAGTGATGTGATGTTAACTCTGAGATTGGGTTACAAAGACTCTGGCTTCTGTTTCGGTCACTCCCTCTTGCTCCCTCACTTCCTCTAATAGAAGCCAGCTGCTGGGAGTTACTCTGTGGAGAAGCCCACATGGCAAAGGACTAAGGGTGGCTCCAGCCAACAATGAGTGAGAAACTGAGATCTCAGTCCGGTGGGCCAGTAAGCAATGCAATCCTGCCAACAGGCATGTACGTGAGCTTGCAACCAAATCCTGCCCCCATTGTGCCTTGAGATTTCTGCAGGCCCAAACCACATAAATTTTTGTTGCTTTAAGTCACTAAGTTTTGGGGTTTTAATGGAGCAGTCATTAAAAATGATAATGTAGATGTGAGGGGTAGGAGCGTGACTGTGTGTATATATAGGCTGTCCTGCTGCAACCCATGTTTCTGTACACGTATTTCTGTATATACATGACTGATAAATGGTAGAATTATTTCAGGATAAAATGGAATCATGTTGGTTCATATGCAATTTTTTCTAGATAAGTAGAGCCAGTATAGGAGGGTAGACTTCTAACCATCATCTGCAAAGGAAAAACCATCTGCTCAGCAGCTGCATTGACAGCAGGAGCCCCTTGGTGCATATTTTAAGAAACTTAAAACAAGTGCCTGAGAATATGAAATATGCACAAAGTTATCTATTATGGCATAGTTTAAAAGATTTATGAAAAGAAAGGACTGCAAACAACCCAAACTCTATCAATATAAGATTGATTAAACAAACCATGGTATATCCACCAATGGAGTACTACGCAGCCATAAGAACTGATGACATTCAGTATACTAATGTACAGTCTCTAGGATTTAGCTATTGAGTGAAATACAGCAAGGAGCTGAACAGTAAGCCTTTTGTGCAATAAAGGGGAAATCTAATATGTATACATATTTGCTAATATTTTCAAAAAGAAGCTATAGAAGTTATCCAAAACTAATTGAAAACAAAACAACCAAATCAAATTTGTGGATTTTCCTTGAACCCAGATTTGAAGAAAGCAACTATGAACAGATTTTTTTTTAGAGGTCAGCCCAGCGGCACAGCAGTTAAGTTCGCATGTTCCACTTTGGCGTCCCAGGCTTTGCCAGTTCGGATTCCCAGTGGAGACATACACACCGTTTGTCGAGCCATGCTGTGGTAGGTGTTCCACATAGAAAGTAGAGGAAGACGGGCACAGATGTTAGCTCAGGACCAGGCTTCCTCAGCAAAAAGAGGAGGACTGGCAGTAGTTAGCTCAGGCCTAAACTTCCTCAAAAAAAAAAAAAGAATTTTGGTCAGTTTTGCTGGGGCCAGCCCCATGGCCAAGTGGTTAAGTTCACATACTCCACTTTGGCAGCCCAGGGTTTCCCAGGTTCGGATCCTGGGCGCGGACATGGCACAGCTTGTCAGGCCATGCTGAGTTAGTGTCCCACGTGCCGTAACTAGAAGGACACATAACTAAAATATATACAGCTATGTACTGGGGGGATTTGGGGAGAAAAAGCAGAAAAAAAAATAAGATTGGCAATAGTTGTTAGCTCAGGTGCCAATCTTTAAAAAAAAAAAAGAATTTTGGTCAATTTTGTTAGGTGTGATAATGGCATTATGATTATGACTTTTTATCTTTATTTGATAGAAATATATACTGAGTTATTAACGAATAAAATGATATGTCAGAAATTTGCTTCAAAATACCTCAGTGGGAAAAAACCAAGAGGTGTAGGGTTAGGGTTGAAGAGACAGATGCCACAGGATTGGGAAAATAATGGTGACTGTCGAAGCTGGGTTTCAATACATTATACTGTTTTCTTTACTTATGGGTATGCTTGAAAATTTCTAAAATAAAACTGAAAAACAGATAAATTTTAAAAGAACATTTGCTCACAGACCTTCTGTCTTGGTCATCCCAGGCTGCACACAGAATGAGTGACGTCAACAATAGAAATTTATTTCCTCACAGCTCTGGAGGCTAGAAGTCCAAGATCAAGGTGCCAGCAGGATCAGTTTCTGGTGAGCACTCACCTCCTAGCTTGTAGATGGCCACCTTCTCACCGTGTCCTCACACAGCAGAGAGAGAGACAGCAAGCTCTCTGGTGTCTCTTCTTATAAGGACACTAATCCCATCATGAGGGCCCAATCCTAATGGCCACATCTAAACCTAATTGACTCCCAGAGGCCCCATCTCCAAATGCCATCACTTGGGAGTTACAGTTTCAACATACGAATTTTAAGGGAACACGGTTCAGTCCACAGCACCTTCCTACTCACACGCCCAGACAGGCACAGCTCTCAGCTCATGGCCAGGTTCACTGGCGGCCCCACGGGCTCAGAGCTCTGCCTTCATCTGTGTTGTGTACACCCCTGCTGGGCACACTCCTTCCAGGTCTCCTTAAAGGGTTGAAGGCATTGCCAGCTATTGTTCTGCATTTTTTTACATCTGACATGCCAGCCGATGGTCACGCAGAATTGTCTGCCTGGTTGTCCACGTTACTCCCCAGGTACCAATGATGGTTTTTGCTAGTGCTCTGGTTACAAATTTGCTTGGAGTTTGAACACCCTGCCCTCACCTTATTTTCCAGGTAAGCCCTGTCATTTTTAATGTGGGGCTTTGCGAAAGACAAGGTTTTTCGGGAACACATACGTTGCATTTTGCCAGAAATGCCTGTATATGCAAAAAACTGCACAGAAAAGAGTGAGTTAGCAAATAGTTTATATATATAATAATTCAATTTTTGTTAAAACACACATATATATGGATAGGAGAAAAGATTTTTGTAGTTGTTTATACGAGTTTTCTAATTGTTCTATATGCATTTTTTGTGTTTATAAAGTAAATGACAAGAGTTTTTAAAATTAAAAAGCAATTAACAGCCCAGAGTCCAACCATTTAGACAACTTAGAAAAGGCAGATTCAAGGGCTAAGAGATGGAGGTAAAATAAATTCTATGACCACCTGTGGCTTAGAAAGTCTCAACACTCCGCTCTGAGGGTCTCTGGACAAGACCTCTCCAGGAACTCCACACCTGCAGAAGGTAAATTGCGCTTTGCCAGGGTGAAGAGCAGACTGGGCTAAGAGTAGGTGCTGACTCTTCTGCATCCTATTTTATTTTTTTTGACAAAGGCTTTGAGAAGCCAGAAATCTGACAATGTTATTAGGCAACACCTTAAATTGAAAGGGGGCAAAAAAACTCAGTTTATCAAAAAACACCTTGTCCTGTGATAGTCACCTTAAATATATCACCTGCACAATATTTCTTGATATATTTTCAACTGTCTTTGCTTTATAGATGAGGACATTGACTCAGAGAATTTAAGTAGCTTGGTGAGGTTATGAAGCTGGTAAGAAGAGCAAGAATTTCATCCTACTTTTGTCCTTAAAATTTGTATTTCAGAGAAAAATCACACACCAGTATAGATCAAATTATTTTATAAGCAGTTTATTTTCTCAAAATTGGACTGCCTGTGTGACTTTGGGAAACATCAGTTACCCTTTTTATATTCAGGTAACCCGTAATATCTCTTTCCGTTTTATGATTCTGATAATGACCATACAAAGATGTATGGTGAATTCTTGACGCTCCTTGCCCCTAGAATTGGAGGAAGCCCACTTGGTAAGAGGCACATAGCCAACAGAAGCCCAGGAGGTGCCTGTCCCGTCTCCTCCTGACAACAGGCACTGCGGCACTGCCTCCCCTCCGAAGCCCCACACAGGGCCCTAGGGCACAACACACAGATGGCAGTCTCTCCTCCCATCCTTCTCTGTCCTTCTCCCTTCTCCCTGGGCCCTAAATACAGGTGGCATTTTTTTATGACCATAAAAATTATGCCATTATGCTAATCATTACATTTTTGAATTGTTTGAATGTTTTAATTTCTAATATTTCACAGATCTCAATCAAGGTCTTATGGCATTGCAAAGCTAACATCTTAAAGACCTCATAAAAGCTCACTTTCTCTGTCCCTTCCAGTACTTTGCACTTTCCATCTCTTCTGAATTACTAGCTTTCATACATGTGTAACCCGCTGACCCTTGGGAAGTTCCGATGAACACACACTAGTTTACTGTCACTGCTGAGCTATTTCTCTTCTTTTGATTCTGCCCCACACATCCTCTCCCCTTCCATTTACCATTCTCCTTGCTGCCCATGCTGCCTTCTCCTTAGGTCATAAGCACTGGAGGTCAGGGGCACTGGAAACAGTAGGACTCTATCTGCCAGCCCTTTCATACACCTAGAGCACAAAGATCATCCTTAAAGAAAGCACTGTAGTCCCCTCATCATCTAATGCCTTCTAAATTATCCCCCCCAAAATCAGTTACAGTAAAGATAATTCAATATGGAGTAATGTTACTATATTCTGGTATTTGAAAAATTAATAATACCGGCATAAATGATAACTCTCAGCTCTTCATATAGAAAATCCCATTTCCCTAGCAGGCCATCTAGGACAACGGTCTTCATTGTGCTGGTTTGAGTGCACGCATATGAAACCACAGAGCTGGCCTCCATCTCCCACAGGGTCTACTGCGTACCAGATGCCAAGGAAGACAAAGAGGCTTCACACAAGAGCCGAAAAACATTTCACTTCTTAAAAGCAATGCCTGCACAAGAAAAACTTCTCTTCCAGTGGAATGAGATTGCTTGAACACCCGCTTCTCATATTCTTCTTTCCCATGATTTCGGCTGTTTGCCCAGTTTCCAGGCTCATCCTGTGACCACAGCTCTGCTGCAACTATTCAAATCTCCACATTTTCTCATGACTCCTATTCTCAATCTTGACCGCCCCAGGGTCCTGCCTCTGGGCTCCCAGCCTCAACCTGATGCCCACTTGGTGCTTTCTGGTTCTGACCATGTTCAACAACCAGCCCTGGGTAGTAGAGCATCATCCTGGACACATAGTAAGCTGTCTAATTAATTAACCTTGAGGAATATTATTCGGTATAGTCACATTAAGGCCTTGTTAAAAAAAATTATTCTCACGCTCGTTAAATGTACAGGAGATATTATTCACAACTATCGTGATAGATGTCAAAGACAATCACAACAGGGAGGAGAGATCCAGCTCAGAACCGAAGATGGCAAAGACAGCTGAGGATTTGTAGCCAAGGAGCAGAGTTGGGGGACAGGGTGTCGGTGGATAGAAAATTACTAAGAGAAGACTTCTAGGGGAGGGGATTTTTGCTAAGCCAACGTAGAATTCCTGCCAGAGGCAGATCAAGGTGATGAAATGTTGAGAGTGGGGCATGGGGAATTTGATCAGGTATCATGGGTAGCGGATGCCCTCTCAAGTGACTTAGCAGGATACTTGCTAAAACTGGACTCGGCAGGCCCAAGACAGGACCCAAGGACAAAGACTAGTCAAAAACAGGGCTCAGGGGAGGCTGTCTACAGTTTGGTCAAAGAGATAGCCTTTGTCACCTCAAATCAGCATTTGTAAGCAAAAAGCAGGAAAGAAGGAAGTTAATAGGGTTTTAATGACTGTCTGATTGTGACACTATGTCATTACATGGTACTTTGTATCTATTATCTCACACAATCCTAAGTAATATAAGGAAGGTGTCATTATCCTCACCTTACATGTGAAGAAATTGAGGCTCAAAGAAATTAAATAATAGACCTGCGATCAGAAGACCTGCATTAGATGTTGACTTTTTCCTGTAATCTTTCACCATCTCTACTGACCTTAAACAAGTCACTAAACCCCTCTCAGTCTCAGTTCATGTGCAAAATGGAGACAATACACCTTCCTCTCTGGTCTTTTATCAACTATTACCTATGCGGGGATGACTCCAGACTCTCTCTCTCTCAAATTCTATTTCTAGAATTATATCTCCAAATGGCTACCTGATAGATGCTCCTGAAATTAAATGTCCCAAACTGAACTCATTATCTTGCTTCAAAACATCTGCTCTGCTTCCTAAGTTCTTAGTCTCATTAACTGCTAGTTAGGTCACTTTCCAGGCTGGAAACGTCAGAGTCACACTCAACTCCAGGCACTCATGACTCCCATACCCAGACTCACATACTTCCATAAACAGAGACCTAATTTCCCAAAGCCACCTCCTCCATTGTACCTTATGGCCGCTCTGTTCATGCCCTCATCATGTCCCCTTGACTGCAAATGATAGTCTTCTGGTAGCCTCTGTACCAACAATCACTATCTTCCCCCTTCTGTCCTCTTAATTATCATTACTGTCATATCTATTAAAAGTGAATCTGATCATGTCACTGTGCTGCTTAAAAACTCTGTTGGCCTTCACTGCCTACCAGTGAAATCCAAAGTCCTTAGTGAGGCCTTCCAGGCTGATTCACAGTCAGCCTCAACTTCTTGCGAGCACAGCCTCTAACTGCCCCTCCCTACTGAGCATCTATTCAGGGAATTCTCCCTCTGTGTCACCTGTTCCCTCTCTGAAATGCCCATCCCCTAATTTAGCCCCTGGTAAAATGCCTTCAAGATCCAGGTCAAAGCCTGAATTCCTTTGGCACCATCTCCCCTCCTCTAGACATCCACAGCACTTTCGTTCATAGCTGTAGCACAGCCCTTACCCTCAAAGGAAGTTAGTGTCTCATACATCTGTTTCTCCCATCAAACTAGAAGCATCTTGGATACAAAGACCATATGTGAGTTACACATGTCCCCTGAGCCTTCCTGAATCTAAAATATCATTGCACCTACAATATATTTCTTAAGCCACAAGATTATAGAAAATAAGACAGTTCACTTTGCCCATTATTTAAAATAAAGAAAAACAAAGACAACCACAATTCAATGTGCCACGTTAATTCAAACTCAGTAAGGTTCCTATTCACTTAAAATTAAGGAGAAACATTCAAAAAACTTTTCCCCTAGGATTAAAAGACATTATTGTATAATTATAGATCACATTTTAAAAATTAAAGTGTGTTGCTTCTTTGGGGATTTGATTTCTTTCATTCTATTTACTATTTTTATAGCATGTACGATAAGCCACCAAAAGTCCTTTCCTAAGTACTTACTAGAATAAAAGAAATTTAAGTTATATACCTCAAAGTTTTTCCTTAGGAGGATTAAATCATCACCGCCAATGATTCCCAGTATATTTCCTCTTTTATTATGATTTTTAGTTGGAAAATTGAATTCTACAATAGAAAAAATTAAAAATTACTCTGCATTAAAGGAATTCTAAATGAATTAATAACAATTTATGGATATGTATGATGATTATTTGCAATAGTCTTCCCTGTTCTAGTTATGCAGCAGATGAGCTACAAATATTCTCAACTGTTTATGGTTTGCAAAACATGATCGTTTTAATTATTACATAATCTACCTTGTAAAATATTAATTTTTAATTATTGAACAATGCACATTATTATATAATCTAAATAATTACTATACAATCCCTCACTAAATTATATGATCTTTATGATCCACACCGACCCATCCAGGATTACTGTGAACTGTTATTTGAACCTGTGCTGACATTTAGAACTTTTTCTGAGCAATGTCTTTCAACAGACAAACAGAACTGGGTGGATGGTACACTTACTCTTCTTTCCTATAGAACTTAACATATCTTTTTGGCTCTAATCTACGTTTATCAACTACACCATATTGTAAAGATTATTTTATTGGGGGCCGGCCCTGTGGTTCAGTGGTTAAGTTTACACACTCCACTTCGGTGGCCCATGGTTTGCTGGTTCAGATCCCAGGTGCAGACCTAGCACCACTCATCAAGCCATGCTGAGGTGGCGTCCACATAGCAGAGGCAGAAGGATCTACAACTAGAATATACCACTACGTATTGGGGGCTTTGGGGAGAAGAACAAAAAAAAGAAGATTGGCAACAGATGTTAGCTCAGGTGCCAATCTTTAAAAAAAAAAAAGAGTATTTTATTTACAAGCTTTCCAAAAAATTGAAAGATAGGGGGCCAGCCCAGTGGCATAGTGGTTAAGCTCACGTGCTCCACTTCGGTGGCCCAGGGTTCGCAGGTTTGGATCCTGGGAACAGACCTGCTTACTGCTCAACAGGCCATGCTGTGGCAGCATCCCACATACAAATTGGAGGAAGATTGGCACAGAAGTTAGCTCAGGGACAATCTTCCTCATCCAAAAAAAAAATTGAAATACAATTTTCTGTAGCTGATTTTCCCAACACTGTTCTTCTGGATCATGCGGCCTGATCAATTTCATTTCTGTAAAAAAGACAAATGGAAAGTTTGTCTACCTTTCAGGTATATTTTACTTTGTCACAGACTGCTGGTTGCCCACTCAATATCCATTCTCCTCTTCTTCCTTATTAATGGGGTTCCAGTTTTGTTGGCAGCATCTATGTGCTCAAGAGAAAAAAAGCATGTATATTTCCCCAGCTCCCCTGCAGCTAGGGATGGCCATGGGACACAGAACAGGCCCGTGCCATGGAAGTGGAAGTTGTTGCTGGGGCTTCTGGAGCAGCTCCCGAAAGGGGAATCTAACCCAGCTGACACAGCCATTTCTGTCCTTTGCTCTTCCTCCTTCTTCCTTCTTTAGATCTTGAGAAAAGGGCCAAAGAAACAGCAGACACCTCAGTCCTGATATCCAGAGCCACAAAGCCAACACCAGCAACCGGGCTTCTCATTACACAAGAAAAAACAAGTACCTGTCTTGTTTAAGGCACTGTTACTTGAGTTTTCTGTTTCATGCACTGAAGTGAATCCCTGAGACATCTGTAAAGCTGCGCTAACACAGTGCTGTCAGTTCCTGGAGTCACCCCGCATACCTGTCTGCATAAAAGGATACACTGCTTCCACACATGGATTTTGCTAAGTTTTACATTTCAGCACCTTAATAAAAGTCATTAGGCAAACCCAATTTTGTCTATATGTGAAAACCTTTTGAGAGAGTGGGTCCCATAAGAAGAGCACAGCATCTGTTTAGTGAAAAGGCAAGACAACGAGAGAAAGGAAGGTCGGCGTCCTCAGAGACAGATTCCTTCACAACAGAGCACTGAAAAGGAATTAGGCAGAGTCCAACAGAGCTGTTTCTGAAAATAACGGCTATGTTTAAAAAAAGAAGAAAACTATGGAAGGAAAAGACAGAACAGCACAGCCTTGGAAATGTACAGAATGTTACAGAAATAATGATTTGTTCTATATATCTGTTCTTTAAATTGTGGCTTCATTATTTTGTTTGAACTGTAGTTATTCCCAGGACATCAGACATAGTCCTAAGTATCAAGTCATATATAAAAGATTTTGGATTCATTTTCTTACTCACTGAATATTTTTTAAATGCCTATTACGTGCCAAGCCCTATGCTAGGCCCTGGAGCCATGGCTGTAAACAAGTCAGTGGAAGCTTCTGTGGATAAGGAGCTTGCAGTCTAAAGGGGAGGCAGACAGATGTAAACAAGTCAGGCAGCGGTAACGCTGAAGAGGAAAAGGAGGAGGCAAGGGGTGTGAGAAGTCAGGCGTGGGTACCATTTTAGATAGGATGATAAGGAAGCCTCACTGAGAAGATGGCATTTAGTAAAGGTCTAAAGGAGGTAGGGAAACAACTTATGCTGATATCCAGGGAAAGAACGTTCCAGGCCAGTGGGGGAGGGGAGATGGGCAAAAGCAAAGGTTGTGAGGCTGGAGTGCTTACCTCCCATGCTCAGAGCGCAGCTGGAGGCCAGTAGGGCTAGAGGGTCGTAAGCATCAATTTTTGGATAATGTGACGGTGTCACATCTCAGGCGCCACATCTGTTTGCTCATCAATGTTCATCCATCACATAAAACACTTACATTTGACCCCCATAGTTTCTAATGATATTTGGGGGATTTCTTATATGGAACATTTTATAAAATAATAACAGTAGAATTCTCGATATGTCATAAGAAAATGTGCTTGTAAATAACTGGTCATTAGGAACTATATTTTCATATGGTTGCCAATTTTTTAAAAAGTGATGGCAATCAAATATTTCTTGCACTTTTTAAGCCTCAGGTTTTCAAAAATGTGCTGCACATATTAAGTACTAGTTTCAATCTTTAGAAGATTTTTATCCTGTAATACAAGTAATTTTCTGAAAGAGTATTGCTTGTGTGAAGAAAATTAAGCGCCTGTCTCAATATAGGAGTATGTCTGAAAGAGTATCTCTTAAAAGGGTTATATTCTTAGGGGTCAGAAATAGTAGATTGAGGTTTGTAATGTGTATCAAAATGGAAATTTTATTTTGATAGGCTTTATATCATTCCAATTGCGCCAGTGAAAAGTAGATATAAAAATACTGAAATCTGCTGCATTAAAATTTTAAACTCGTTGCTCTAAAACGAATGTATCTTGACTGGCTATGTGCTTGGGGTGAGTCATTTATCCTCTTATTCCCCCACGGAGAATTTGATTGCATTCAAACTACCCAGCTGGAGAGTTCAACTACCTTTGGAAAACTTGATATCAAAGAAGGATCTGTGAAGAGCTCTCTACACTGCGCGGGAGGTTGAAGGTGGCCTAAGGTGGCCATCATCACCTCTTCACGACTAAGGAAGCCAGAGCAGGCATCCCGCCGTCTCCTCCAGGTCCTTCGAGCGTCTGTGAATTTACCACTCCAGAAGATGCGAGAATAGATTCGAGCAGGTTCATGCTTCTTTTCCAAAACTTTTGTGCTACTTTGATTCATCTTTCCCGCCTTATTCTTATCAACACACATCCAATTAGATTTTAGAACTTTAATTAGTATTAAACCATTTAATTTAATCTGCTTACAGGTCCACAAGTTGCAGAATTCTAAATACATCAATGATGACGATTGTCTGTTTATAGATCTTTGTCTTAAAAATCATCATGGCATGCTCTTCTCTAGGACTAGTAACAGCAGGTACTGTTCCGAATACCCTAAACCTATTAATGCACTTGACCCTCCAACCAGCCTGAGGAAGTAACTGCCCTTCTCATCTTATAGACACGGAAACTAAGCAACATGGAGCTAAGTACCTTGCCCCACATCCCACAACTGTGAGTAGTAGAACCAGGATGCAGACCCGGCAGTGTGAGCTCCAGACACTGAACTTTTAACCACGATGTTATGCTGTTTCACCTAAGTCTTCAGAGCTATATTTTCTTTGAGTGAATTATGTCCACAAAATCCGAATCCATTATTCCTCAGACATGTAATTTTGCATAAAGAAAGCACTGCTAGACAAGAGGTAGCCCAGGCAGTCACCTGATGAGAAGGAACATAAGCACAGATCCATGGAAACATACTCAACACTACCGACTTGTAAACAAGAGTTAAGCAAGCCAAGTGTGGAGAAAGAAATTCCATACGAGTTTATAAGAAAAACTCCTAAATCAAGGTTATTAGCAAATGGCTCAGAGTAAGAGTGGGGTTTGAGGTGTCACTCAAAAAAGAAGAATAGCATTTGAGAAAGAGAAGGCATAGAAGGAAGGTCAGCTTGAGCAAAGAGCAGAAAAGAAGAAAGCAAAGGATTGTTCACAGAACAGCAAACACACCACCTGCTGGAGAAATGGATCCACCGGCACCAACTGGTGGTCTATGGGTTCATTCATTCGTGTATGCAACGTTCTTTGGACATCATGAAAAAAGAGTATTTAAATTAAACCTATTGCTATTACTTTTGCTTATGGATTTTTCTCTCACTCAATTCTAATTTTCAAAAGCCGGATAAACTGCTTGCTCTCCTAAAAACTGGGACCCTTGACTTCCAAATTATTCAATTACAGAATCAGAAAATTGGGGTCAGATCTGTGATTCAATCCAGCCCTAACACTCACTTGCTCAAGAGAGTTCCTTAAACTCTCTGTTTCCTTCTCTGTGCTCTGGAGAACGGCACCTCTCTCATTTGGCGCACCCAGAGAATTAAGGAGATAACGTCCACAGTTCACGAAGCATCAGTACTAGGGCTCGGCCGCGTGGGCCCTCAACAAGCATGTTCCTCCCACTCCCTTGTTGCTTTCCCTACACACACACACACACACACACACACTAGAACTTTTCAGGGGATTCTTAAGATCATCCAGTATACCCTTCCTAACTGAGAAATGAGAAAAACAAAGG